GTGTGTGTGTGTGTGTGTGTGTGTGTGTGTGTGTGTGTGTGTGTGTGTGTGTGTGTGTGTGTGTGTGTGTGTGTGTGTGTGTTCCAGAAATCAATACCGTTACGCAACTTTCAATCGTAAATTCAGAGCAGTGATGCAGCAAGGTGCAGTCAGGAAAATGGATTCTATTGAGCAGCATCTTGTTCATGCGAGAACAACGAGATTAGGGATAATTAACTAGACTGTTGATAAAGTTCAGTGACTGATGATGTATTAATGAAATCAAGGTACGTAAACTTTGCACGATTTGTCATAGATAATTTCTTGCGTTGTAAAGCCGTAACATATGAAACAGCGAATCATACAAATAATCATGATTTAATGTTTTTGAGTGCAAATCAAAATTTACTTTCTAATCGAGACGAGTTATAATTTAAACATGAAGGTAAGTACCATAATCCACTCAACATTTTTTCTATTTGTTTTTTCTCGCAAACCAACAGACCGGAAACATTTTACATCTGCAAGTGACAAAAAATAACACTAACATCAACACATGAACCCTCACCTCCATTAGGGAATTAATAAAAAAAAAAGTGGCTGATCCATTACTGACAACTTCGGGACTGACAACATTTCCCTCCTTCCACCTGTCGCAGTTGGTGAGGGAAAACTGTCTTTCAACGAAGAGATATTATTTAATTCTTTATCTTTTGTTTTACCCTTTTAGCTGACTGTACACTTCCACTAGTAATCCTTAACAAGACTGAATTACGACCTGACATTTTTCTTATTACGGATTTACATCTTCCTTGGCAACATTATTTGTCTCCCTTTTTTTTAATCTATATAGAACAAAAGACGATCTATTTCTGTTATTTCTCTTCTTACATCTCTTGTCCAATCACGGAACATTGAGCCGTCATTTAGCACTCAGATTCCTACTATAGGCTGGAAGGAAGTTTTTGAGTGTCTTTGGTAAAGTTTTTTTTTTTTTTAATTTCTTTCCGTGTGTCAAAAGGCAAGGTGACTAGATAACACTAAACTAGAAATGTTTAGAGAAAAAAAAGGTGATTGGACTTTCAATTTTCAAAAGAATGGCTTGTTCTGTATGCACTGTAAAAGAATAAAATGAGAGAGAAAGACAGAAAGGAGAGAGGGGTGGAAGATGTCCAGATAGATAGATAGAAATAGAGAGAGAGAGAGAAATATATACAAAAAAAAATGTCAATCTTTCCAGTGTGGTCGCGTGCTTCAAGACACCTCGCACGAACATGCAAATAACACTGTCAACTGATGTGATTGGCAACGCAAAGAAAAGTCTAGATTTACCAATAGTTGATCTCTTCTGCGTGTTTTACGCATGAAATACCTTTCGCAAATCGATATAAAAAGAAACATGAAAAAAGATAAAAATACACACATACACACAAGAAAATGTACATGCATAACAACACTGGGAAACTTAAACATTACGTAACATAGCACCTTCTCCTATCTCGGGGAGAGTTTAAAAAGACTTTTATACATGTACATAAAGACATTATTACATGAAGGCAAAATGCTGAGGTTTCTTATAAGAATGAAAATGGGACGAGGCATCTTCACCATCTTCACACATGAAGATGGAAATGAAAATGTATAACATAGGATTGTCTCAAGCGCTAGGATGGACTTGATCTTCCATTCATTATTCATCATATTCGGTGTATGTTCTCATTGTGAGAAAAAGGTTTGAATAACAGTCTTTGTTGTAGAGGAGTCACAGCAAGATTATCATAAATGTTTGATGATAAGAACTATAGTAATGATATCATCGTCATTATTGATGATAATAATAGTTATAATAATGATGATAATAACAATAATGATAATAATAATAATAATAATAATAACGTTAATGAAAAAAAATAACAGTAATGATTAATGATACTAATAATGATATCAATAAGAATTAATACTAAAGTCAACCATCATCATCAAACAAATATCTTCGAATATAAGAATTTGTATAACACAGGAAGATCATAATTTGTTTAAAAAAAAAGAAAAAAAAATACTGATATCAATAATAATAAAAAAATGAAGGAGATAATAGAAAACAGCTAAATCACCTGGCGCTATGAAGCAACCGTCCCCTTCAGTCCACTTCACACCTTGATTGATTGATTGACAGATTGACAATATTCCTTTGGCACGATAGCTTGCTTGTCTGGGATGACTAAGTAGGTATAATCGTAAGTACATATATATGTCCATTGTTTTTTTTTTTGGGGGGGGAGGGGTTACTTAATGTTTTCCTGGTATTGGTCATATTTTTTTTCTAATATCGAAACAATGAATTAAAGGGAACAATAAAAGAAAAAAAAAAGTTTGAGTATTGAAAAGCAAAAAAGTTATTGAATACTGGAGAGTATATCCGTAGAGTTACTGCCTTCATTGAATATCCATACGTCTTCATATGAGATATAAGAAATGCCCTTAGGTATTCTAGGGAAACCAGTTTTGATAATGGCCTTTCAAAAGTTCATTTCTTTCTTCTTTTAAAGTAAACTAAACATTTACTTCTAAAAGTAAATAAAAAAGTACCCCAGAATAGAAACGTACATTCATAGTACGTTGCTTTGGCAATGAATGATAGATATAGAACACACACTTTTCTCAAGTCCTTTACCGTCTCCAGAAGTGGGAGGGGTAATCAGGGAAAAAATGGCATTTTCACCTTAGAGTCAGAGAAAAAATATTTTCCTCCTAAAGTGTGTCCTACCACTGACATACTAACTCACTAAAAGGCACTTCCGTTTGCCTGGATCATCCTTCTTCTTGTGCTCCGACCTTCCCGTTCCATTATCACATGACTGTCACATCACATGGGAGTTTAAAGCAGGCAAAAGGTCAAGGTCTTGCTTATCCTCTATACGGGCATTTATCACATCAGATTATTGTGTGTGAATTTTCATCCCTGTCGCGAGAGAGGGAATTCACTAAATCCTGCAAAATACTTTCATAAAGGCCTAAAATATATAAACTTACAAATGTTACATCACATTATTGAGCATCATTGTGTGATTCTCTTGTTCACATCACTCTGTCAACACTCTTATCGCCTTGTGCAAATGATATGTTATCACTGTCACTTCAGTCATTTTTCTGAAACTGACAAGGAATTATACACACGGTAGCGTTCACACAATGTGTAGTAAATGACACCTTTGCCAATATGCACGCACGACACTTCCTATATTCCAGCACAACCGAATTTACGACACACATTTTCCATCCTCATTCGTCAAGCAGTCTCAAGGCCATTCCAAAAAGTCATCTAACTTATTCTCACAGCTTCTCCAACGACCTTCTGCACATACCCACACACAGCACCATTTGCCAAACTGCTTTTCTCCGTTACGTTAGCTTTAAGTATTTTTGGCATGTTCAGTTTGATTACGGCACCTCTGCAACACCGCTCCTTAAGTACTTCGTGTCATCGAAGGTTTGGCGAAGATCCTCAGCTCAGGCATTGAGTCCAAGGTATCTGAGATCGGGCTTAAAACCGCCTCCCGAAAGGACACTAAGGGAGTGGCTTGTCTATGAATAAGCCAGGTGAACTGTTCACCGTTAACTGTAAGACTCGAGTGAATCACGCTGTTTTCAGACCACGTCGCCTCTCGCGCTTGGGTCTTCATCCACGATCAGTAACAACACCCAAATTGAGCCTCACGATCTTCTCAAAGGAGCAAACCTAAGTCCCTTTCCGAAAGAGAAAAGCTCGGCGTCTGCCCGAAGGCCTACTGGCAGCCCCCTCACACCAGGTGGCCCCGGTGCTCCAGCGGGATGCCGGACGATATCTGCTGTGGGTCGGGGGCGAAGGTGGACAGCATGGGGGCGTGGGTGCGCGTCGGCGACTGCGGCTTGTTGCTGTACTGGCTCCCGACCGTGCCTGCGCCGCCTGTGCCTGCGGGGATGTTCATGGACCCGTTGCGGATGTAGTCCTTCGGGAAGTGGAGCTTAGACGGGGGGTTCCGCCGAAGGGACCCGTTGTTCTGGGCATGGCTGTGGGCGGTGAGGATGTGTTGGGTGGGCGGTTGGTAGGTGTTGTAGCGGTGGGTGGGCGGCGGGTAGTGGCTGTCTGCGGGGTTGATGTTGTAGTGGTCGGGCGCCGGATTCCGTCTGCCCAGCGTGCCGTAGCCGCCGGTGTGGTCTGAGGGCGGGAAGAGAGATGGGATGGGTAAAATAAATAATTATTAAGTTACAGGCTTTTAGATGCCAAAAAGAAAGACAAAAAAAAAAAAAAAACTTCAGCAAAGTCTGAACTACCTCTTGGTTTTTATTTCTTCTCTTCATTACCATTACCATTACCGTTACTACTATAGCCATTGCAAATAATGCTATTATCATTATTATTATCACCATAACTATTACAACTATTATTTTCATCATTATCACTAATATCATTACTATCGTCATCATTATCAGACTTACCTATATTATACTGGTTCCTGATCATCTCATCATAACCGTCTTCAATATTGAGGTCGTTGTGCGAGGGGGGAGGCGGGAGGATGTGGGGAGGGGGTCTCGTGGCGTATTGGGAGGGGGGTTCGAGTTGCTCTATCAAGTAGGTGCTCGTGGCGTTCGCCCTCGACGCCTCGGCCTCGTACTCGTCGGTCGAGTCCTGGAGGGGGAGGGAGAGAGAAGAGAGAACGCGGTGAGAGGGTGAATTTGAGGGAGGGAGGGAAAGGGGGAAAGAGATAGATAGATAGAGAGAGAGAGAGTGAAAGAGGGACTCGTGATGAAGTAGTATGATGATTTTCTGTTTTGGCTTGTGATGATTTCAAGGTGTAGCGAAAGTAGGAGAGGAGGAGCTTAGTGATGATTGAAGAGGTGCACCGAAAGCGGGAAAAGTGAAAAGAGATGAAAGATGGGGTCTTATGACGAAGCGAGATTATGTTTTGAAATTCTGACGTTTTGAAGGTGTTTTAGTATGATTTTGAGTGTTTTAGTATGATGACAGAGTATACTTG